AGCAGAGGTCTTCCAGGGATTTGACCAGCCTTCTCTACAGGAAGAGAAGGAGACTCAGTTGCCCAGGGAAGACTGCTTCATAACACACAATTAGACTTGCCATTCAATTTCACAGTTATATGTCATTTGTTTTCTTGTTTGTTTGTTTTCATGGTGCTAGAGATGAACCCAGGGCCTTGTGTGTGCTAGGTAAGCACTCTGTCACCAAGCCACATCCCCAGCACGAGGTTACAGGTACTGAAATCACATCAACAGCACTTTATTAGACATCCCTGAAGAGTCCCTCCTTTGCCTGAGAACAGCAGGGCCACAAGTGCCTCACTAGCCTGTGCAGTGAGAGGCAGCTTATGCTCCAACCTCCCGTGTTACCTGTGTCAAGTCTCCCCGCAACAGAAAGTGCACCAGCCCCAAGAACTCTGCACACTGCTTTCCTGGGCTGCTTAGTCTTCCCACCCAGCTCCCTATGGTGCAAACTAGTTTTTATGCAAATTCAAGACAGGGCCCATGCAGACTTCAGTGCAGAGAATCAGATGTAAGCCCTCTTTTGGGACAGAGGACATAGAAGCAGGGCTAAAGACTATATGAATCAAGGGCAGCATCCATTTCTCAACTATGCTTGGGAAAACCTTCCTCCACCAGCCAGCAGTGTGACTCTGGCCTAGAGAATGAGAGAAACCTTAGAAAACAGACTTGCTTTTTCCAGAAGCCAATGCTTCTAGGTTATCCTGGTGCTCTTGGAAATTCATATTGTACTTGTGAACATCCTAAGTCACAGCTCCTCACACCACGAGTGGAAAAGACATTCACAGTTCCTTTTGACAAATGTAGCACATCTCAAAACCAGAGGGCAATTCCCAGCAGATGTCCACAGCATCAGGGGATAACAAACAAGTACAGACAGGGCATTATTGTCTGCACAAGGGATTCCGACCACTATCTTACCCTCTTCACCTTTATTTGGCTCACTGGCTCATCAAATCCTGGTTTGCACTCTGCAAGGTCCTCACTTCCACAGAGGGACATACAGGACACAAAGCTGTATCAAGCATGTGACCCAACAATGTGGCCTGTCACTTTTAGCTAGTGTCATAAACAGTCAAGAACATGAACAATTTTGGGGGGCTAGCTTATCAGTTAATGCACTGGTCTAGCATTAGGGAGGGGCCTGAGCTCAATCCCCAGCAACAGAAACACACATAGATTGTCTTTTCTTGCAACACATAGAGCTACTGATGTATCAGGGAGTGGAAATGATCATGGGGTCTGGAAAGAAATCCTCTGCTGTAACCTTTAGAGAAACACAGAGGGTCAAGTTTTATAGTCATTTGTAAGTGCAGCAAAGAACCCTCTCACTCAGCCTTGTCACCCTGAAGCTATAATTCCTGGGAGCCATGGAAAGGATGAATGATGAGACCTGACCAGTGGCATGGTAAGAGTCAGAGACCTCTCAGTAACTAGGAGGCAGTTATCACCCCCACGCCCCAGTTATGCTAGGAAACAGCTAAGGGAGGCTGAATGGTAAGTCCAGGCCACAAGATCAGCATCCCCCTTTAGAGGACTTAGCCACTTGGGGCTCTGACCTCATCTCTACCTGTAAGAGTACACAGGATAATCTGAGCTCTGGTATTATTTTGTTTCTTTAGTTCCAGAACACCAACATGTCTAAATGTCCTCTCGTGCTGTCTCTACCTGACAGCGATATGGTACAGCTCATGAGATGGCTCATTGGTTTGGTAAAAGCACTTGCCAGCAGGTTTGAGGACCTAAGCTCCATCACTGGAACTCACTGTCTCAACAACTGACTCTTGAAATTTGTCCTGTGACCTCCACATGCACACTTGTGTAAATGTGGACTCACACTCAAGCATGT